GTACTTCAGATGGACCAATTGGTAAGAAACATGCAAAGCTCAGAACTAGCGGTAGTTAGACATGGATAGGTACTTCTAGCTACAGACCACCTCAGAGAGATAACAAAGGATTTTGACCAGGTACATCCACTTTAGGCCATTTCAAGCTCAAATGACGAGGAAGTCAGGGTTCCAGATTTAGACATAGTACCATATAGTAACCAATGAGTAGCTTTCCTCATACTTAGTTCTTTTTAGTGATCATTCACCCTGAGACCTAGCTAGAGTTCTAGTAGTGCTAAATTTCCTTATTGCCAGTTATGTGGAAGATCTCATCTTGGTGAGTGTTCAAAATTCGAGGGAGTTGGTGTCTGTTATCATTGTGGCCAAGGAGGACACATAAAAAAAATTGCACAGTTCTATTACATGAGAGTTGCATATCACATAGAATATTTCTTGAGCAAAATGTTGATAACACAAGACATAATCAGATTTAGGGAAATACTTTGGCTAATAAAGCATGTACAAACAGTGCAGTCCAGTCTTGTAATAGCGCTGTTAAATCGAAAGGCAATGTAGGATGACCGAAGACCTAGGAAAATTTTTTAATATGACTCAACATGCAAAGGAAGAGTCACCAGATGTTATTATGGGTATGTTATCTATTTTAGATCAAGATGCTAGTATTTTGTTTAATCTTGGATATACACACACTTTTATTTCATTTGCACTTGTTATAAATGCGAACCAAAAGCTAGAACTTTTAGTAGTTGTTTGGTAGTGACGACACTAGTACGAGAAGCACTTTTAGCTTACATTGTATATCAAGATTGTGAGATTAAGGTAAAATAATCATGAATTGAAAATAAACTTAATACCTCTTTACATCCATGATTTCGATGTTCTTTTGGATATGGACTTTTTAGTTGTAAATCGTGCTTCAATCGATTGCTTTTGAAAAGAGTTTTGTTCAGACAACCAGGACATCTAAAAGTTATATTTAGTGGACAATGAAGAATCTTGCCATCTTGTGTAGCATTTATGAAACTAATGAACAAAGTGTTTTGCCCGTACTTATACAAATTTATGATATTATTCATTGAGGATATGTTAATATTTATCGAGATCATGATGAGCACATAGAGTCATTTTGCAAACTTTGCAGGATAAGCAGTTATATGCTAAATTCTGTAGATGTGAATTTGGTTCGATGGAGTGGTATTTTTAGGAATATCATATTAGCAAAGATGATTTATGTCTACTTGCAACTGAAGAAGTTGTGAAATGGGAAAGGCCTACTAATGTGACAAAAAAATGAAGTTTTATTGACTTGGCAAGTTACTATCGTTGTTTTGTAAATTGATTTTTGAAAATTGCTCTTCCTTCGACTAGTGTCACTAGAGAGGGAAATTTTTTTGTAGATGAAGAATGTGAAAAGAGTTCTCTTGAATTGAAGAATCAATTAGTTTCAACTTTAGTTCTTACTCCATCTCCGGATGAAGAGTTTGTGATATATAGTGATACTTCACGCCAAGGCCTTGGTTGTGTTTTGATGTAGAATGGGAAGATTATAGTCTATGCTTCTAGACCATTGAAGGAATATAAACTAAATTATCTTACACATGACTTAGAGATAGTTGTATTTGTTCTAGCATTGAAGATTTGGAGGCATTATTTGTATGGTGAGAGATGTTAAATATATATAGATCATAAAAGTCTAAAGTATATTTTCGATCGTAAAGAGTTGAACTTAAGGTAAAGAAGATGGTTAGAGCTGATAATTCAATTCATGTTTCTTCAACTATCTAGAAACATAGGCCGTAACTTTTCTATTCTGCATCAAAACACAACCATGCCCTAAAATGAAGTATCACTATATATCACAAACTCTTTACTTAGAGATGGGAGAGTAAGAACTGGAGCTAACAAACTAGGTGATTCTTTAATTCTAGAAAACTCTTTTCTCATTCTTCATTCTATACAAATTTAGAGTCAAGTTGGTCAAAGGAAGAGCAATTTTCAAAAGTTCATGTACAAAGCAACGATAATAACCTACTAAGCTAAGAAATCATCGTATTTCTAATCCCCTCTATTATTATAATATGTCCCAAAAAATACTCCATCGAGCCAAAATTCACATTTACTGAATTTAGCATTAACTGCTTATCCTGCAAAAGTCTGTCAATGATTTTGAAATGCTCTATGTACTCATCATAATCTTAAGAATGCATTAATATATCATTAATAAATGAAATCACTAATCTGTCCAAGTACAGGAAAGACACTCTGGTCATTAGATCCATAAATGCTATAAGAGGATTGTCAACCTAAACATCATCACAAGAAACTCATAATGACCATATCTTATTTTGAAAGTAGTGTTCGGTACATTACTATCCTTTATTTAAGTTGATGATATCCAAAACATAAATCAATCTTTGAAAATACTGTAGCACCCCGAAACTGATCAAACAAATCATCAATACGTGGCAAATTCTATTTATTATGGATTGTCACCTTATTCAACTGTCTATAATCTATACATAATCATACGGTGCCACCTTTCTTCTTCACAAATAAAATTGGTGTTTCCTACGGAGATACACTAGGTCTAATAAAATCTATCTTCCAATTCTTGCAACTGAACTTTTAACTCTTTCAATTCTACTGTGAAGCCTTTCTATATGGTAACAATGAAATATGTGCGGTTTCTGGAATCGAATCAATAGTAAACTTTATGTCCATGTCTAGCAGGTAAACTCGATAATTCTTCTGGAAATACATCGGGAAAGTCTTGGACTACTAAAATGTCTCAAGTTATCTGGTTAACATCTATGTCAATCACATGAGCAAAATATGCATAACAACCCTTACTGAGTAATCTTCTAGCGTCAATAGCAGATATCACACAAGATGGTAAGATTCTACATTGTCCACTAAATATAACTTTGGCTTTCCAGGTTGTCTAAAAACAATCTCCTTTCGAAAGCAATCAACTAAAACACAATTCAAAATAACATCAAAATCATGGATCCAAGAGATATTAAACTTTCCTTCAATTCGTGATCATTCACTTTAATCACACAATCTCGATATACACTTTCAGCTAAAAGTAATTCTCCTACTAGCGAAGCCAGTACCAAACAAATTTCTAAAGGTTCTAGTTTTTAGTTCTCATATAATAGCAAGTGAAAGTGAAATAAAAGAATCTGTAGATCTAGGATCAATCAAAATACGAGCATCTCTATCAAAGATAATGAACTATCCATAATGAATTTATCTACATGTTAATCTATGTTAATAAAATGGTAGTATTGTCTTTTAAATAAAACAATATTTTGTAATTATAATGTTTATTTAAGGGTATCTTTGTCTTTTACCATTCAAAATGTCATTGTGAAAATATACATTTGTTGAAAATTCAATGTGGAAAGTATGGGGTTTGACAATACCAATTTTAAAAGTACCCCTAAATTAGCACGCCAAAATTCAACGTATTAGCTATAATCTAGTTGATATGAAATCATTATTTTCTTAATCACACGTCCTAGAATCTACTATAATATACATGCTCAATTATTGAGATGAAACTCATTTGCCATTTTCTAGCTCCTGTTTGACAGTTTTTTTTGAAATTGCGAGCTACTGAATGTCACGAAATGTGAGGTTAAAAGGTAAATACGTCATGGATTCACTAAAATGTATGATTAAAACTAAAGTTTGATCAATTTGAAATCTTAAAAACCATTGTCAAACCAGGGCCTAATCAACTGAAATAAACTCCACTTAGGAAGCAAATAATTTTAATTTTGACAGAATTATGGTTTGATAACAGTGTTTTATGCCTAGGCCTTGCCAAAGATGCGAAGCTCGGTCTTGCCACCTAGCTATGCTTGAAGTTTTTTTCATTTGAGCTTTGATTTTGTTCGTATAAGCTCATCAATCCCCTATTTAACAATCATTATTTTTAAATTCTTTTTTCTACATACTCACTTTCAAACACAAGTTCGCACGTGAATTCAAAACTTTTCTCTACTTTTTAATCACATATTCTCCTAAATATTATTATTCAAAATTCTATTTTCTCTAAATAATGATTGTCAAACACAGGCTAAAGTTTGAAAATTGACCATACAATCTAGCTATACTTTACGTTTTTTATAACACGTTTGATAGATTCTTTTATGACTTAGAATGTAAGAAAAATAAAATAATATCACATATTTTGTAAAATTTATTTTTAACTACACATTTCATGAGATTAACAACTTTTAACTTTTCAATCATATATAATTTTTATCCAAATCAAAATGAGGGCATATCGTACTTTATTTTAGCTGAAATCAGAAATCCAAATAAAAATAAAATCAGACCCAACTCAGACAAATTCCAAAACGGGCTCCAGTTCCCGGGTATGGATCGCGATTACCTGTCCCCTTTCCCAAACTCACTACAGCGTCAATTCTCCAAACTAAAA